TAGCTCTTAGTTTTCGAGATTTGGAGGGGGTCTTAGTTCTTAGTTTTCGAGATTTGGAGGGGGTCTTAGTTCTTAGTTTTCGAGATTTTGAGGGTTTCTTAGGTTTTACTTTTCGAGATGTGGAAGGGGTCTTAGGTCTTAGCCTTTCCAATTTGGAGGGGGTCTTAAGTCTTAGTTTTTGATATTTGTTAGGGGATCTTAAGCTTTTCGAATTCCTACGGGGATTAGCCGAGTGACGATATATAATATTGAGGAGAAGATCAGTACAAGATTATTATATATTTTAATTGTTGTATAACACAATTGAAATGGCAGAGTTCCAAAACCGTCTATTCAGTAGTATATGTCAGCATCATTGGCAACATGAGATTGTTGCGCGCGTAAATTTATTTGACTCGTACATTAAGAGGATACCCTTCAGGTCTTTCTAACGTGTTTGCCGGACGGATACAACGGTATTGAAATTCATATCTAGCTAACAGTTAATAAGCAAAGTTAATTTTTTCCTTAAAACACACCAGCTTGATTTTTGGTGTTAATTTGGATACCTGTGAACACTAAGCTGTAGCTAGAGAACAAAGTTCACCAACAAACCGTGAACGGTAGACCTTTTAAGTTTCTTTTTCAAAGAGTTAGACAACCATTTTCTCCTCTTTTCTACTTAGTTCTCAGAATTTTCCTTCGAATTTTTGCTGTTTAAGTCATTTCTGACAACTTAACCTCGCAAGCATTTTTTGTATCTTAACAGTCAGCGCTTGAACTAAACTGTTAAGGGGATACCAGATACCAGTGCAGACCGAGATCTTCATTAAAAGGAGTACCCAACATGTCTTCACTAATAACTGCTGTATTTAAAGCCACTATCGGCCTGTTGGTGAATAAAGGAAGAGATAAACTGGCAGAAAAGTTGAATGAGGGTGATGTTACAGATCAGAAATTCCGTGGCCTGATCGTCCGTGAAATCGATGAAATAAAATCGAAGTTGGATGGTTTAGCAAGAAAGGATTTGCTAGCGAGTATCAGCCTTTTTAAAGAAGGGATCGAGTTGTTGTATGAGGTGTTTGAAAGTGCCAGGTCCAGTAGCGAGCATCGCGCGATAACAGCAGCTGCAACGGTTGGTGCTGAGCAATTCGATATTGCTAAAGAAATAAGGAATTTGGAACTTTCTTCCCTGGATGAGTCCGCCACGAGGAAACTTGGGAGAGCGAAGAAGAGATTTGAAGAAGCTCGTCTTGAAGCAATAAGAGCTTTTAGTAATGAAGCTTTGGAATTGCCTGATCGTCTGTTAGCTATGCAATATCGACTGATGGCGACAATACTGGAGACCGTTGACAATCCTACCGACGCATTAGCGGGTTGTAGAGTCTGCCTTGACGAGTTACACCAAGTGCCAGCTGTTAAAGAATATTTCAAAGTTGAGTTGGAGGAAGGGTTGAGGGCTCTTTTTAACAAAGACGAAAGAAGGCAAATAATTTTTTCTGTCTGTCACGCTAATCGTGTGATCTATGATGTAATGAACATGCTCGGTAGTGTAAAAACATGGACGTTGCCTTGTGTTGAAACTGGGAAAGAGAAAGTGGATCCTCTCCGCGACGGAAGAGTTGTTAAAGCGCTGAAAAAACAAGGTAACGAGCACTGCTGTTTACTATGGTCATTTGGTCAGGAGGGTGAAGAGAAGCACAAGCTGACGGATCCTTGTGGTATCGCTACAAACACCAAAGGACAGTTCCTGGTGGCAGACAATGGGGATAAAACCGTGAAGGTGTTTGATAGCAACGGAAAGTTTGATTTTAGGTTTGATCCTCAAACTGATGACGCCGATACAGAGTTATATGTTTTGGATGTCGCAACTGCAGGCGAGGACGACGAGATCTATCTATTGGTGCAACTGAAGAAGCCTGGGGCTTTGAAATGGGAGCTAGATACGGAAGTGCAGTTTTTTAACAAGACTGATGACATACAGTACACGTTTCCTGTGAGGAGCGGGTACTCGGTCAGCAGACTAACAGTGAGCAGCGGCAAACAACGCGGCAAAATTCTGCTGCTGGGAGGCAAGGTTTGCCTGGGCAAGGTTGTTAGTGTTCACGAGCCATTTGGTAAGTTTGTTGGTAGCTTTGGTTTGAGAGTGTTCAAGTGCGCAACAGACATCATTGCTACTTATGATGGTCGCGTCATGATAGTGGACCAAGACGATGACAGTTTGTACTTATTTGATGTGGAGGGACACCAGCTTGGCAAATTTAATATCAAATATGAGAGAGATGTCTATCTTCGCATTGCATGTCACCCGGCAAGTGACCATGTCGTCCTCACTGGTTATGAACGAGAGACACGCCGTCTGACGCTGGCTATATACACTGTTAATGGTGAATTTGTTCGCAGAATTCAGCTGGATGAAGTAGCACGTGATGTAAGTGGAATAACAGTGACCGTGGAGGGTCACATTGCTGTGGCTTTTAAGGACATGGATGGTAAAGGAAAGGTAATAGTACTTGGTTAAAACTAAGAAATTCGAAGACACAAGTCAACAGTTCTTATTTTACTTTCATGAATAAATGTCATCAACGCAGATGTTTGAATTTAATGCAGCAGTTGGTTGGCATCACTGGACATGACTGGATTAAGCCACATACACTGTAAACAACTTCATCCCCTCTTGTTTACTAATGTTTGAAGTAAGTCTTGTCTTAGCTCTAACCTTCGAAAAGAAACCAAAATAGATAAAATGAATAAGATACATGTACAGTAAACAGGTGTTAATGAGGACCTACATTTTTTGAGGTCCGGCGAAGAACGTTCTTTTATGTACCAGTCAATTCCAAAACCGCCCATTCCCCCCCCCCCCGGAGGCAAACCCCGGGGCATTTGACTTTTTTGAAAAATTTTGGTCAAATTCCCCGCTATGTTGCCAGTTTAGACGGTCAAATGCCCCACCCGTTAGAGCTTCAAAGAGGGTCAAATCCCCCACCCTCCAGGCATGTTAAAGCAACTGTGCTAAACTTTTTTTCATGCATAAAACCGTTTATTCAAATGTACATATTCTGTAACAAACAATTGGCTACTGTTTGGATTAAGATTTGTGTTAACTGCAATTTTAATGATAATAGAGTGATCTGCTGGATAAAAACACAACTAAATATCCAAAGTCTCTCAAAGCTATCTTACGGAGGTTCTTAATTTCAATAAAAATGTTCTTTTTAGAAAACCCACATTTAATGGGCTTTTTAAAAGGCTCTCAAATGCTCCAACAAAACTGTGAACATAATAAACTCTATATATTTAAAAATACGGCGATTGATCATTTCTCGTGTTTCCTGATACCGTAAACATTTTAAAATGTCAGCAAAGTTCGCCCTTTTATACAGACATAGTCAGTGACTTACAAGCTTTTTAATATTTTTCTACCTGCAATAAATAACTTATAAATATGTTCAAGCTTTCTTCAAATTGAAGGCGACGGTTTCACAATCGACCAGCACAGAAAAGCCGTGGTTGTTTTACAGCATACATTTACTTATGAAAAAAAACTCATTCAACGAATAATATATGTAAACAAAGACGATCGCCAAAAAACAGAGAAGCTCTAAATATATGAATATTAATCTGCGAGATCACTCGTCAGTGGCATGCAGCCTCTGTCACGCCATGCACTCATGAAATATACGAATATAAACAGAATCGCTTACCTTTGGAAATATTGAGGAAGCGATGGAATACAAACTTGAACGCTTGAACACAACTTTAATACGCTCGATTTACAATACACCGATTTACAACAGGTTGATGTACTGCCCGGGAACCCGACTTACAACAAATCTACGAGCGACTAGCAAGGAAGTCACGTGACGTGTTATCTACATAATTTATTCTACTCTCACAGGTCCAGTCTCACGGGGCTTTTAATGACCCGAGTACGAGTACGACGATGGGCCGTAACATTCTCCCCACCTTGTCCTCCTTCGGGGAGGACAACTCTCTTCTTAGGCTTACGAATAGGAAACACTTTTAACATTAACAGAGTTCGCTCGAGGCTTCTCCCCACCGTCAACAGGAACATCAGCTTCACGGGTAACTTGTGGAGCCGCTGCATCAATTTCCAATCTGTGTAAGCGTTGAACAGGCCTGTTGAATACACCTTTCTGTGCTTTCACAGTAGCCGTTCGCACGAGTCCGTCCTTACCAGGATGAACCTTTTCCACCCTGGCCATTGGCCACTTGGTACGCGATACATTATCATCAGAGACCAACACGATATCACCTTCTCGAATGGAGGGTTTTCCTCTTGCCATTTACTTCTCACGGACAGCAGGTGCAGATATTCTCGTTGCCAACGTTTCCAATAGTGGTTAAGTAGTCTCTGTAGGTAAAGATACCTTTCGACAGTTCTTTTACTAGACTCCTCCAAGCTTTCTTCTTTACTCTCAGGTAACTGGTTAATTGGTCTACCAATTGCAAGATGAGCAGGTGTAACCGGCAAAGGGTCTCTGCAATCGTCGCTCACTGCCGTTAATGGTCGCGAGTTGATGATGCCTTCAATTCGAATCAATAATGTGTTCAACTCAGAAAAGGTGAGAAGTGCCTTTCCAAGCACTTTACGCAATGATTCTTTGATTGCTCTGAAAAATCGTTCCCACCATCCGCCTCGCCATGGAGAACGTTCGGTGATGAATTTCCACGTAATCCCTTTCGACGAGAGCTCAGAATTAATTCGATTTCGATCCAATGTATCCCACACCGTTCGACTTTGAGTACTAGGATCATACAATTTCTGGATTTCCTTGCTTGCAGCCTTAAAGGTTTTTGCGTTGTCGGACCGTACTGTATGGCAAAGACCTCTGCGGCTTGTCATGCGACTAAAGGCTTGTAGGAACTCATCAGTGGTAAGGCTGTGTGTTAGTTCCAAGTGAATCATACGAGATGATGCGCATGTGAATAGACAAATGTACACTTTCTGTATGGTTGAACCTTCTTTTACATAGAGAGGTCCTGCTAAGTCAGTTCCAACATGCCCGAAAGCTGGTGAACATGAAACTCTCTCCTCCGGCAATGGGCCCATTTTCTGCGCGCAAAGTCCAACTCGCTGTTTTTGGCAAGCCACGCATCTTCTGATAACACGTTTGACTTCTCGTCTCCCTTGGGTCAGCCAAATTTTCTGTCTTAAGGTTGACAGTATGCTTTCTGGGCCCGCATGTAACATGATCTTGTGTAGGTCTAGTACCATCTTTGCGACTTCGGGATGTCCGTGAGGCAATATTACTTGATGCTTGGTCTGTTCAAGTAGATCAGCAAACTGCAGTCGGCCACCAACTTTTATAACCTGATCCTCTCTGTCATAATACGGGTCTAGTTTGAGAAGGCGGCTGTTCTTGGGAAGAGTTTGTCCGGACTTTAGCAACTGGTAATCTTCTTTATAGACCTCTTCCTGTACCCACTTACAACACTTAAGCTCTGCCTTCCTCACTTCTTCTGCCGACAGTTCACTTTCAGAAGACTTACATTTAGTCTTGAACAACTTGACTGCTCTCAGTACATAAGCGGTTACTCGAATCAACTTTAACCATGTCCCGTAACGCGACATATCAATTAACGGCTCTCTAACGACTGCTGTACAACCATGAGCAATTTTCCTTTCCTCTTCGCATACTTCAGAGGGAACAGTACCACCTTGGGGCTGAACGGGTAAAGGTTTGTCACTCGAAGACAGCCACCGAGGTCCATTCCACCATAAGATATTGGTAATCATATCATCACAGCTCAACCCACGCGTCAACAAATCTGCAGGATTCTCCTTACTAGCACAGTACCTCCAACACTCAGGATCCCACGTAGACTGTATTTCTGCCACTCGATTCGCCACAAATGGTTTCCAACGAGAACTCTGACCTTTTACCCAATGCAGTGCCACCATACTATCAATCCAACACACAACACCACTCACTTCCATAGGCAAAGTGTCTACAACAAACTTCAACAACCTGGCATTTACAACTGCTGCTAAAAGTTCCAGTCTGGGTAGTGACACTTTCTTTATAGGTGCAACTCGGGACTTTGATATTACCAGCTGCGAGGATACATGACCTTGCTTGTCTGCTATTCTGATGTACACTGCTGCTCCGTACGCTTTAGGAGAGGCATCTCCAAAACCATGTAGCTCTATCTTAGAATCTTGCGTGATGCCATTCCTGAAGCATCGGGGTATGGTCACACCTTTCAGTTGCAACAACTCTGACTTCCAATGTAGCCACTTTGCTTTAATTTCACTGTCCAAAGGGTCATCCCACAATAATCCTTTCAACCACAGTTCTTGGAAGAGGATTTTGGCTCTGACAGTGAAGGGAGATATCAACCCTAAAGGGTCAAACATTTTCGATGCTAGACTAAGCAGGCTTCTCTTTGTCATTGGATCCGGAGATAAGACAATTCCACCCGGTGCAAGAAATCGGAAGTGATCAGAGGTCAAATCCCATGAGACCCCAAGCGCTTTAAGGGGTTCACTCGACTCAAACTTCACCAGTGACGATGAGGCTCTTTTGGCTGGGGCAATAGCATCCATTACGAGCTGTGAGTTACTTGCCCACTTTGTCAAGTTAAACGCCGCTTTCATCATGATCTCTGACATGTCTTGTTGAAGTTTCACAGTCGAGTCCACCGTATCGGCTCCTGTTAGGACGTCATCCACATACATGTTTTGTAGAATTTCTTGGACTGCATTTGGGAACAGTTCTGCGTATTTTTTTGCATGAGCATGGACAGTCGAAATAGCAAGGAATGGACTGGAGTTCACACCAAATGTCAGTCTTTGCATTCTATAAACTTTGGGTGTTTCGTTAAATTGTAAATCTCTCCACAGGTACCGGTGAACGTCTCTATCCTCTGGCGCTAGCTTGACCTGAAGAAACATCTTTTCAATATCTGCTATGAGACCAATTCTGTTTGTTCGAAATCGAATGAGTACAGATGCAAGGTTGGGCTGTAAAGCAGGACCGGGAAGGACACAATCGTTGAGAGAAACACCATCTCCTTCTCGCGCGGAAGCATCAAACACGATTCTGCACTTAGTCGTCGTTTTGTCATCACGGAACACAGCATGATGCGGCAGGTAGCGTACAGTTCTATCTTCATCATTCTTGTTAGGCACTACCTCTGCAAATCCTTTCTCTACATATTCATTGATTGCAGAATTATAAACTTTAGCTTTCACAGGGTCATGTCTTAACCTTCTTTCGATGCTTTCCAGACGTCTAACAGCTTGCATGTAGTTACTTTCCAGTTTAGGAGGGTCACGTTTCCACGGTAGTCGTACTTCATAGTTCTTCCCGTCAAATTTCAATCCTCTATTGAAGTCAGCAATAGCAACTTCCTCCTCCCTGGAAATAACAGTGTTTTCAGTCTCAGCGATGCCAATAGATTCCAGTTCCCAGAATCTTTTCAAGCTTTTAGTGAGTGCACTGTTTTCTACAACGGTAAGCATGGATGTGGTATACCTTGAGTAACGGTTTA